CAGTTCTTTTCTGTAGCTTGACAGTTTTTTTTAGAATTGCTTTGAACTGAAATATTTATGGTAATAGTTTTCGAAGCTGATGGATTATCATTAGTATTTGCCGTATGTTAATACTCTCACCTAAATCCATTTAAATATTATTGTTTTTAAAGTCTAATTAGCCGTATTTTTTGTGTGAAGAAAATTCTAATTGTCATATTTCAATTATTTCTAATGGTTTGAGGGCACGCGTAACAATTTTAAGTCGTCAATGTCAGCCATGGCACCAGCGACTGCAACGACTTCGTTTAACTCGACCGCTCCGACGCCGATCCCGTCGTAACAATAACTTCAGTGAACACCGCCCCAGTCCCAAGTCCATGACAGATTATTGCTCTAAACGTGACGAGTTTAGAGAATAATTATTCTAACAATTATTTAATTTTTAGCGCCTTTTCTCATTTATGGAAAAATTGCACTATTGTGCTTGCTATGTCCGTCTGTCTGTCCGTCCGTGACTTCAAGTTTTCGTCGACAAGAAAATGCGCTCTCTGCCACTCACTGTAGTGAGTACTGAGGTATATATTTTTATTAATGTGCATTATGCAATGAGGGAATATTTAGATCGGAAAATTCCGACAGCAGAAAATAGTCGCGATTTCTGGAAGATTTTCATGGTGTTAAAGACAAACAAAAACTTTTGTTTGTGATCGTTGGAATTTTCGGTTAAAATTTAAACTTGCAGTAGATATAGAATTTCTTGAGGTTAGTTTCTTCAACGGATGGAAAATCTACTCGCCTAAACTTCTTAGCACTTCTTATCTGGCTTTCTCTATGGATCGGCAAATTCTTGCTTTTCGAATAAATACATCATAAAAGTACAGATTGACATACCGGGTAATAATACCACATCCGAAAAATCCAAAATATATTTTATCATTCGTAAAAATTGCAGTACAAAACGTCTTATGAGTAGCCTACGGTGAACGCGTATCCTAGATTCAAAAACCTCATTAAATAAAAAAAAAAAACGTAACATGCCTCCACGAATTATGGGAAAATTGAAAACAGTTCAAAATAGGAGGACAAATCAAGCAAACATAATTAAAATCAACGGAAAAACACCGAGCGATTAACGACTATCGATTATGCAGAAACCGTTGACCGTTTTCGTAACCGCGTAAAATGTAAAACGGCTCTAAAACGTCATCATGACGCACTTATCTGTACTTACGCAGTACACGCACCCATTGACCTTTGATGTGAGCATTACAGTTCAGGTTTAATATACTAAAGCTGCTGTTTGCTGAGCTGGAATGATCGCTTGATAAGTGAGCAGGAATGATCGCCGGTTTAGTGAGCTGGAATGATCGCCTGTTTAGTGAGCTGGAATGATCGCCTGTTTAGTGAGCTGGAATGATCGCCTGTTTAGTGAGCAGGAATGATCGCCTGTTTAGTGAGCTGGAATGATCGCCTGTTNAGAGACAGGAGCTGGAATGATCGCCTGTTTAGTGAGCAGGAATGATCGCCTGTTTAGTGAGCAGGAGTGATCGTCTGTTTAGTGAGCTGGAATGATTGCCTGATTAGTGAGCTGGAATGATCGCCTGTTTAGTGAGCAGGAGTGATCGTCTGTTTAGTGAGCTGGAATGATCGTCTGTTTAGTGAGCTGGAATGATCGTCTGTTTAGTGAGCAGGAATGATTGCCTGATTAGTGAGCTGGAAAATCTAAGTTCTAAAACGAATAAAAATTTTTTTTTCTGTGTGAGCGTAAGCGTGAGGTATAAAACACATAAAACTATATTATCTCAGGTGTTATGCTTGCATACATCTTAAGAAAAAATTCATCAACACGATGCAAATTATCACAGATGTCTGCAACAGGGAGAACGAAGAAGGGTTAGGCAAACAGCTTCACGCCGACGAACATCATTTCACAGTTGTCAACATTAATTCATGGTTATATATGCGGACACTGATGATATTTTCACTAAAGTTTACCCCATAATAATATGCGTTTAAAAATTGCTTTTCAAAGACAACACTTCTGAACAATCCAGTAACTAGGATGTAACACATGTACAATGAATTTCTAATTTAATTTTAAAATATTGAAAAAAAATTATTTTTCAAATATTTTTAAGATATTAAAATTTTGTAAATTTTCAAAATTATTCATTCTGTCAATTGATTCATGCATTGTCTCCAACTATACGCAAGTGTGCCAAATTTCAGATCGATTGGACAGGTAGAAGTGTGTTAAATATCGATTATAAGATTTGTAGCAGACAGACAGACAAACAAACAAGAAGTGAAGTTAAAGAGAAGTGTAGTGAAAATAGGGAAATCACTCCTAGTTTTGGAAGCACTGCCCTGGGCAACGCTAAGCCCTCCTCGACTTCTGATGAGCAAACACGCGTCCAAGAATCCACGCCAAGGCGTCTAATTTGCGAGTTTCACACGTGCATTGATAAGAACTATAATTAGCAACAAACATTTCTAAATAATTGTACGATTTGGTATAAAAATGTCTAGTGAAACTGTGCTTCTTTATGAGGCTTCTCTTGTACAGGAAAAAATTAAGACTTGAAGGTTGAAATGGACAGAAAGTTCATTATGAAAATATTTATGAAGGCCGAAAACGCACACACAAAAAATGAAAATTTACGTTTCAAGCAAGAGGCACACAAATAAATAGGAAAACTAATAAAAAATTGCATGAGTATCAAAATAAAAAAGGCTAACTGTATTTTAGCTAAAATCGCTACACGACAATAAGAATGGACGTTAGAACAGTAAACGAGGTTGCGAGGACGTGAGTTGCTCTCAACGCGCACACGTGCAACACAGCAAACACACAAACACAGCAAACACACAAACACAGCAAACACACAAACACAGCAAACACAGCAAACACACAAACACACTCTGCATTAAGATGCACCTTTCTCCATAGAATCTTACTACAAAATATATAAAAAAACAACGAAGAACACGCAGTTACACTCCAGAATACCAGATTAACGATGGAAGTACGGCTTAAACTTCATTTTTTAATAAAGTTTACGACGATCACAAACCATAACAATGATTTAATGAGCATTAGAGCGATCAGAATTGTGGAACACCAAGATATGAACGTAACTGATAGTTTGAAGTGAAGTTCCAACAAAGTGTTCGTTGTATCATAAATGTATTCACTATAGCTAAGAACACAATACTTTCTTCGCAAAAATACAGCACCAGTGAAAACATCGCAACGCAGCATTAATAAATAAGAGCTCAAATACTATTAAGAAGTCCGCAGCTAAACAGGCCTATGTACAACTACTTTAGAAATCTTTATATATAAAAAATATCTTTGATTGTCAATTAAAAGTAGAAAAATATCCTCGCGAGTTCAGAGCTCACGCGAAGCTGACACGCGTCACGTGGGTAACTCAATTACATTGTATTTATATAATAACTATTAGATATATCAGTTTTCATATCAGTACAATCACACTGCAATAACTTCTATTATTACCTTGCATCATGTTATGATAAGAACGTTATCTTTTATAACATATTCATCACCTTTAGTTACACATTTGAACTATTGGTCACAGATTTAATCTACTCCAACAATGTTTTAAACCGAATATAATTGTAATAATATTTAAAATTAATTTCAGTGTAGCCAAGAATGTAACTACTCTCGACTCCATTCTGGTCTTGCTTTCCAAATGACGATAAAATTATTCGTTTCAAACAGATAATTCCCATCTAACTAGCACTGACTTCGAGAACGTCAGGGGCTGGAGCAGCTATAAATGAAAAATTTGCAATTAAGTTAAATTATCACTAAAACATAATGCAATTTATTAATTATTATTCTTGACATTGATCAAAACAATGAAAAAACGGAAAAAAATTTAAATTGTCATTTGAAATTTAAATAAAGTACAATCTCTTTTAAAACCCGATATTTCTCGAGGTCTTAGACCGACATTTAGATCTCTTTGAGTGAAAAAAAATTACATTATACTTCGGGATAATAATTAAAATAATTGAACAAACATACGAAGTGTATCTGCGACGAGTTGGAAGATGTTTATGACTTAGTGTGACATAAATTTGATTTGAATGATAAAATATTCCGGCTATTGGTTCACGAATATTATCAAATGTTGAAAAAATAAATAACTTCTCTATTATGCAAATCATCTTGAGCCAGTTCAACTACCTACCACACGATAGACAAATTATCACAGTTGACCATTTGCAGAAAACTAGTTATAAGCACAGTCGGTTTCAAGGCTCTTTAACGTCAATTTCTATTTATATAAAATACTTCTGAAATAGAACATATATAAAATAAATATTCTATTGATGAAAAAATTTGGCTACTTATTCTAAATGGATTCATCGAATGAATCCAGCTTTCAATGAATAAGTTTTCTTTCATAAATATTTATAGAACTCATTCACAATTTTGAAACATTTTTATACAAAGATACCAGATACCAGTTTCACAGTAGAAGAGTGTAGAAACTTTCACACAATACCGGTAACCAAGTGATAAGGCAAAAATTACCATAGCAACAACCAAGTGATGCAGGCAGAGAAGAACGATGATGAGCTGTGATTCACTTGGCACAACTTCTACTGTAAGAAAACAACTGCTAGGAACACAGTTACTGTACGTCTCCTCTAACACACGCAGTTCAGGGTACACTGCACAGTATACAATACACTATACAAACTAAAGTTGGAGTCTAAGTACAGCTGATGTATAAAAGTACTTCAGATTATAATGGAAGAACACATTTAAGGACTTGACACAAATGTGGGTAATGTTTCGACTTTGAGCAAGCAATACATTCTCTTACGTCTTCAGTGGAGTACAAAATACTTTTTGGCGGAAACAATTTGTTTTCAAACCAAATAAAGAGAAGCTCAATTAAATATCAAATAAACGCTTTGCACTTCAATAAATTTAATAGTTTTAGGAAAAGGGGCACATTAAAACAACGTGTTAACAAACACACACAAACACAAAGCCTCATGTCATATCAAAAACGAACACACGTGCCTCTTGACTCAAAGCAACACACATGCCCCTTGACTCAAAGCAACACACATGAACCTTGACTCAAAGCAACACACATGCCCCTTGACTCAAAGCAACACACATGCCCCTTGACTCAAAGCAACACACATGAACCTTGACTCAAAGCAACACACATGCCCCTTAACTCAAAGCAACACACATGAACCTTGACTCAAAGCAACACACACAAAATATAAACTAGTTGGGAAATCACATGCAATTTCCCCTTACATTTGCGCTAGTTAAAACCATCGCTGTTATCAGAGCAGTACACAATTAAATAAGAGAAAGCTAAGCAGCTCGCTAACAAAATACGATACAGTGACAAGACAAACCAAAGTCAAGATTTTAAGTTCATCCAAATTAGGCCTCGTGAAGCCGATTATACATCAAACGCTGCAGCGAGAGCATTTAAAACAATCCCTTCTGATGGCTCGTCAGAAGTGATCATTGTCATTAATTATCATTGCATTATCGTCAGTTATTATCAAATTATTGCATCAACAAGGAAGACCTGTAGGTGGAAATGATACAGAAAGATATGCTTTATCTCCTATTCTAGCAGACAAATAACTTGAAGTGAACCTCAGGCAACCTTATTATATACACGATAATTTTTAACAAAATTAGAATTATTATCATAATTATTAAAGGAATGTATCGATTAGGGAACTCAAATTTGTTCAGTAACCAAGTACGAGTAATTGTATCGCATAATATAACATCAACATGGATAAAAACGCCACATAAAACATCTACTCAGGGTCAAAAGCAGTCATAATTGACATTAAAAAATTGTAAAGGTATAGAGTTCTTCGGCAAAAAGTATGCTTTCCAATTTCCCAATAAATAAAAACAATCAATTTTCATTCATGAAAAAATCATGATTGCACAGTTCTATATAGGCTTCACAGTTGCTTTTGATATATGACTCACTTACATCTTTTCTTAACTAGACATGTATTAAATAAATAATGAAGAGGGAAAAACATCTGCCGCAAGCCAACGTCGCCTCGAAATTTTTATTTATCATTTTTCAGAGCAGGTTTTCTATTACTCAAACAAAACGAGAAATTTTACACTGTGGTATTTTCAGATTTTCGCGATGAGGGCTAGCAGACCTGCAGAGCATGTTGCTATGCAGCCCAGCAGAGCATGTTGCTATGCAGACCAGTAGTAGGTACATGTTGCTATGCAGCCCAGCAGACAAAGAGGGTACGCAGACCAGTAGACCTTGATACGACACAGACCAACACGCCTTGATGCTACGCAGATATTGAAGTGAGACCAGCAGCAGGATTAGGGTGCTTGAGAAGAGCTCGGCCAGGCGACCCTTGTGAGCTGAAAGAGCAAATTACAAACATAAGATAGTCAAACATAACAGGTAAACAATAATATTGAAGCAATGCAAACAATAAATGAGCAGAAACGACGCATGATGTTGTGTAGGGAAGCTTTAAAATGAAACAGCAAAAAGAAATAATAAACAAATTAGCGTTGTTCAGACAGTTTTTTGTATTAACTCGGGACTCGGGAGAAACTAATTGCCTGGATAATTTTAGATAATTTTAAACTTGTATGAACTGCTTATAACTTAGTTATTTTATTTCCAATGACAATAAATAATAAATAAAGTCATAATTTTATTTTCTACTTCATAAACAATACTTTTGTCTAAATTACTCTCGATCATTTATTCAAAATAAAATAAATTTATAATTCACTTGTAACTATTTGTGTATTCATTAAATAGAAGAAAAACAAATAGTCGGCTTAGGAGATCGTACTGCATTTTGTTCATATATATAAGGTTTGTTCTAAAAGATTGGTTAGATAGCCACTTATGCAGGTATAGACACCACCTGTGCAGGTATAGACACCACCTGTGCAGGTATAGACACCCACCTGTGCAGGTATAGACACCACCTGTGCAGGTATAGACACCCACCTGTGCAGGTATAGACACCACCTGTGCAGGTATAGACCCCACCTGTGCAGGTATAGACACCACCTGTGCAGTCAGGTATAGACACCCACCTGTGCAGGTATAGACACCACCTGTTCAGGTATAGACACCCACCTGTGCAGGTATAGTCACCACCTGGGCAGGTATAGACCCACCTGTGTACAGGGCTGTTCCAGGGCTGGACTTTAACAGAGACGAAGAAGGCGTAGACGCAGGCGCCCGTCGCGTACAGCAGGAACGTGATGAAGAACAGCGTCTGCCAGCCCTCCCACCCCTGCTCACAAGGCAAGACTGCCCTTAATAATCCAGCATAGACTTTCATACACAAATATTATATGGAAATAAAAACAAAGGAATTAACTTAGATAAATGAGTATGGAGAAACATTACATTCTATATAAATATTAATGCAATGAAGAACCGCGCCTGCTAACTCCTGCATCCCTGTACTCACGCCAGTAGTTGCCGTAATAAATTACAGAGTTTTTTTACAATGAATAAATAATTACAAATTTACTTAAGGGATAAGCACAAAGATAAAAAATACATGATATGAGATGACATCAAATTCACAAATAACTTTGATGATACAATATTTTTATTCAAATTTGGTCCCTTATCAACACCCTGAATGGTGTTGGGTCCCTCATCAGCATTCTGAACGCCACCTGGTCCTCCACCTTTACCCTGAACGCCACCTGATTCTCCACCATTACCCTGAACGCCACCTGGTCCTACACCTTTACCCTGAACGCCACCTGATTCTCCACCATTACCCTGAACGCCACCTGGTCCTCCACCATCACCCTGTAGAGCACACGGCCTCCACCATCACCCTATATGGCACCTGGTCGCGGGTGAGGTACCCCGTGAGCTGGGGCGCCAGGAAGCCAGGCAGGGTAGCGACGGTGTTGCTGATGCCCGTTAAGGTGCCAGCGAAGTTTGGCGCGAGTTCCTGGAAGGCGCAGAGATGCCCTGCGTGATCCAACCCCGACAACCCGACGGCCAGAGTCAGGATCATCACCACCAAGGTGCGGTTACAGCCCGCCAGCCCGATGGTTGTGAGCAGCAGACCAGGTATCAGCAGGCCTGATCGAGGCAAAATAATGAATCAGGAGCAATTATATAAAGCTTGCTTTAATTTTCAAAAAGAGCTTCCAGCCATGTAGTTGAAGTGCACACATAGAACGGTAAGGGAGATAAATTGATGGGATCTTGCAGTCAATCAAGAAAGCTTTGTCGCAACGAGGTAGAACCATGAAATTGACTCAATGTTATGGAAGCTTTCAGCAGAGCTTTTTAAAGTTATTTACAGAGTAATTTACATCCACTTTAGTTTTTGAAGGCCTGTATAATGAGAATTGGAATACTGGATGCATAATTGCATACATATATGGTTTGACTAATTTGTTACCTGGTTTAATTACTGTAATTGTACAGGCTCGCTTCACGTTTACAAATACAATAGTACAAACAACTGTTCAAAAAAGTCAAAACTTACCAGCAAAGGAGGAGAATCTGCGTGCGTTGTAGAGAGAAATTTCACCCTTGAGTACCTTGCGGTCCATGTAGGCAGGGAAAGTGAGCAGCGTGCACCACTTGGCGATGAAGGGCAAGCTTGACACTAAACCATTCTGCACACCGAAATATTCATTTGTTACCATCATCATAACAAGTATAATGATTTCGAAAGGTTCACAACACTTACTACAAGACCGATATAAGTCAGCTTGAAATTAATAAGACATTTACAAACACATAGGTACGGTATGTCTTGTTTAACTGGTAAATGTGGCCGTGAAAGGGTTAAGAGACTTCCCTCAATGAGTCTGAGTGTGTGAAAGAATGGTGATATTAATATTCAATACAACAATGGAGCTCTATTCCTGTTGTGGAATGCGCATTGAAGAAAGAATACATATGTACAGAATGAGAATGATGAGGTAATAGTGAGTACACACAGTGTGGAGGTTGAAGTGAAGGACTTTAGCGAGGTATGACGGCATCTCGGTGAGGAGGCAGTAGAAGCCCCAGTTGGCACAGAAGTGGGCCACAACCACACACAGGAAGGCTGGAGAAGTCACTATTTTCATCCATGGCACCCCGCTCTGCACAAAGTAAACTTCCATCAGGAAAATTCTGATGAAAATTTTACCAGGAACCTCAAGAGCAGGAATTGATATAGGTACTACGGTATAGTGTGAGCATAAAAGGAAAGTTCCAACAAAATGTATGCTAGTTCCTAACATTACATGTGAAAATTCAGCATAAATAGAATGAAAATACTAGACAATCTGAAAGTTTTTATTATTGAAAATATATTAATAGGTTAAAACTTGCAGAATACTCAATTAGTTTTGGAACAAACAAGCACCTTTCTTCTAGTGTCTTGGTCAGCATTGACACTGCCAGTGAGTGGCACATCAGAGACGTTATAGAACCACACAACAGCCCATACGAGGCCAAGGAACCCAAAAAGGTAGAAGCAGCTTGGCCATCCCCAGCTGGAATCACACAGCAAGCCTGTCACGCACATCGTCACCACAGTACCAAATAAGCAACCTGTAACACAAATAAATTTCATCAGAACAGGACCATATGGATTTACTGACAAAAGAAAATCAAATAAATAACCTCTCAGAGAGATTGGTACAATTTTACATTTCGAGGTATATAATTTATTATTTATTTGTAGTACAATTTGATTTTGTTAGTCAGCAAAGTGCACATTGTGATGTTTTCAAAACTACTGGAAATGTAGTGAAATCAGGAAAGGTTTTAATCATGGTAAAATTTGGATACTTAGGTTTATTATAAAGCTATTTCTTCAAGGCCTAACAATTTGCATTGCAAAATTAATTGAAATCGCTACAAATGAAATTACATTTCAGAGATAACAAATTTTATAACATGAATGTACCCAACAATAATGGTCACGATACTGAATATTTAGACAGCCACATATTAAAGTTCCAACCCTAATACCGTTATTGAAGCACAGAGAAAATAAAATGTGCTCGCTACAATTCAATAACCTAGGTATTCATTAATGAAATTCTTGATAATTGTACAACTCATACCTGAGGTTGTGAAGGCAAAGAATCCAGCACGAGAAGCAGCTGGAACCCAGTGAGCCATGAGTACATTCATAGCAGGAAATGTTACACCCTGCACCATGAATTCATTATTAGGTATTTCTGAATGTAATTAGTTAGCATCATTTGAAACTAGAAGCAATGCAATTCAGCAATATATACCTATACAACTTTAAAAAAATGCAACCATCTTAAGACAACATTGAACTTCTGAGAGAAGAGAAGCTACCTACTAGCCATTTTTGTGATTGAATGAATTTTTATATTAAAATGCTTCCTGAGTACTAAATAAATTGATGTAGTATCTATACATAGGTATATTTATAATAAGAGAATTCTTGGAATTATATTATCAGGGAGTGGAACTTTTCTTCAGATTCTCTGGTCATCAATCACACATGTATAAACAAGTAAATTCTGCCATCTAATACTAATTTATAATTATCAGTATATGGTAGGTTGGCAGAATTTTTTCTATTGAGCACATTTCATTGAAGACCAGAGAATATAATTTATTAACAATTTTCCTTATTTTTTATAAATTAGACAATAATTTTTGTTTGCACTGTTTAATAAAAAATCAAGGCACTATTAGGTTAACAACATTTGAAATGTATAAATCATTTGTTATAAAGTTACCGTACGAGACAAATTAAGAGATGAAATTTGGATCGACATCAGTACAAAATCATTTAAATAGGATATGTACTAGGTACTCAAAAGTCAATTTGGTTGAAAAAGAATACAGTCCATTCAGTCAGAATCCAATCATATGCATAAATATGTGACTTTCATTACTGACCTCTGTCATGCCTTCCAATATTCTAATGAGCATAAAAGCAGAAGTTGAGGAATGAGCAGCCATAGGGGAAAGGATTGTGAGAATGGAGGTGAGAGTGACACCCATGCCATAGACAATGCGACCTCCATATCGCTCAGCCAGCAGGCCTCCAAGCAAATTAGTGAGGCAATAGCCCCAGAAGAATGATCCCAGGATGTACCCTTGTGTTCTGGCATCCCAGTCAAATTCCCCTTGACTCGATGTACTGCTAGTCTGTTAGAGAAAAAATATCATGAAAGATGAGCAACTCACAGCAAAGCCTTCTAGATATGACAGATGAGAAAAATTATAGGTACACATAGAAGATTATATGTATAGGCAGATTATACACATAGAAGATTATATGCATAGGCATTCTGATCCTTTTCTGATCAGATGCCACTGGCTGCTGCTATTTCCTGCTAGATGAAATATCTCCTATTTAATTGTGAATAAAACTACTACATGATTTAGCACATTTATAGTTTATTCAAAATATGATGTTTGAGCTACAACTAGTATGGAAAACAATTACTTATTTTTTAGAGCAATGAATTCATGAATTTTTGAGCCCCAATCTAAATTTTTGAGCAGCAAATTTCTTTTACAGTCTGTAGAAAGCACTTTTTGTCTGTGCTCTTCAGTCTGTGGAAAGCACTTTTTGTCTGTGCCCTCCAATCTGTGGAAAGCCTTGATACAAATAGCCAATGACAACAGAAGAGTATCAAGTGAAAATTTCATTGTGTGACCAAGCTGGCATGGTGGAATGATAGGAGAGGATATTTGTTTTATGTGTGACAGAGGTGAGAGGGAAACTGAGGAGCATCTGATGATGGAGTGTGATGAATATGAGCAGTAGAGACTGGAAATGATAAGCGATACTGGATGAGAGGGATGAGGGTGATGGTGCGATGTATGAGCAAACAGAAGACGTATGGATTGCAATAATAGTGGGCCTGTCAACAGGGGCAACTATTGCTATGACAGTGGAAAGCAGAGCTGGAAAAGTCCCATTTTTTCTGAAATATCGCAGCTCTAATATCATATATATATATAATTTTTGTAGGTATGAAATCTTGTGGCTCAAATGTCATAAATTTTTGTTTGATTGAAAAAATTTCAGTTTGCACTTTGCAAACAAGTCATTTTATAAAATTTTTAACTTCCACAATTCACATTACTACCGTCAACTGGAGCTACCCGGGACAGTTTTGAGCTCTTTTTTGTTAATAACTGTTAATAACTTCTGATGATGAAACATTTAATAAACAATTTTAGGCTCATTTTATAGCTCTTTGTGAGGGCTATTGAATGGCATTGTCAAAAAAATTCCATATGCTATTCATAAGGTGCTAGAAGCAAAAAAAAAAAAAAGAGTGTCCTGAGTAGCCCTGTCGAACAGGGCTTCTGGGGACACTTGCAATAAAACTTAATTTTATAACTTTTACAGCATGCAGAATGTACTCATTCATTACAAAAAGTACCTTAAAGTCCTCCTCTTTCATTGTAGATGATGTAGAGGTAGAATAAATGACATTTTCAGTGATTTTTGACTTGTTTTTCCTTTATTGATATGATATTACCATAAACATTAATTACCCTCAACTGGGGTGACTTGGGCCCTGATTTTTTATTTTGTTTTGCAAACAAAAACGGGGTCGTAAATGCCAGAGTGAATTTGGCCATCATTTATGACCCAGCTTTGGCCATCATTATGAACATTGCAGAATCCCCCAGTTGATGGTACTGTATTATTGATGTGATATTACCATATCCATGAACATGCCATTGAGCATTTACAACAACCTTGTTCACTGCAAGCTTCATATCAGCAGCCTTATAGCATTTTTTCTGTATCTGTAAGCTTACAGGACAGCTTGTAATTTGTGTGACAATAAGTGAACTCTTTTTTGCTCAGCGAGGTAAATGTAATCAATATTCTTTGTTTTTAATCAATTTTTTTCTTAACTGGAGCCTTTGCTAACTGAGGTTCTACTGTAAATGCGCTTTTGGGGGTGTCCCGAGTAGCCCCGCCGTGCGGAAATGATCGCCAATTTTTTTTTTGGAATGAGATAGGCAAAATCTGTCAATTACGTTTTCAAGCCAACACCTGGGTGCAACTTTTATGTAAGTACAATTTTTCAATATGGTGAATATTTTTTTACTACAGGCCTTAGCAGAAGTAACTTTTCAAAATATAGTTTTTCACCATTTTTCAGGAATTTTTCAGAGCTAGTGAATGTAGTATTTTTTAACTTTCTTTATACTACGGTACATAGATAGGAAAAATGTTGATGATTATGCCACTATATTTAGTTTTGCAATATTCCAATTAGTTTTGCTACTAAAACTGTCCCGAAAACGGAGGACTGTCCCGAGTTACCTACCCTGCCCATCCCGAGTATAGCCCCGGTTGACGGTATACCATTCCTGCCAAAATATCCTCCGGATTGTAATCATCGTAATGATAACCAGTCAACGTAAACATTTAGTTGAAGATCGCGCATAGTTGTGGTCACGTCAGAGTGGTCAGACTGCATTAACATGTGTTCAGCTTACAGTAAAGACAAATGTTATTGTTGCTGTTTGACTGTTTTAGGGCAAAATTAGAGATTTGGGGTAACATGTGCATGGACTTTGTAAATAAATTTGCGCCTTGTAAATGGCTTTTCATGGTCGAGATATGGAATTCACGGCTCGAAAAAATGGAATCACGACTCAAAGAAATGGAATCACGGCTGGTAAATCCATAAAAACAAGGATCGAAAAATTCAGTCGTGGCTAGCCAAGTAGGTAGATATATTCCATGCCTGGTGGAAAGCAATTTTTGGACAGCCAAGCGCATAGAGGGTGAGGGAGAGGACTGAGAAGAAGGTTGGCATTTGGCAAGAGTGGAGGAGTAAAAAAAGCAATAATAAAATTAAAATAACCAAACCATAACAATTTAATTTAATACAAATAGTCATTCAGGCTCAGGGCCTAAGATTAAGAGGCCCCATGCCCCATAGCTAATATAAATAAACTATACAGTGCAATAATTGGGATATAGCAAATAGCAATAATAAACCAAATGAATCTTCTCTCGAATTTCTCTGCCATTAGTTTAAATCTCCTCAGAGGCTCAGCCTTAACATAAACTTTCACACCTCTCACTCTCAAGCCTCTCCTTTAATTGCACTTGCAGAGTTGCAGTAGGTACCATAAAATGGGGTAACTTAGACCAGCGGGGTAACTTAGACCACTTTTCATTTTTTTAACAAAAACCCCAAAAACTATTTGACATAGAAAAATTTTGTTGATGGGCATTAAAGGCCTAATACTGAGGCTACATATCACAATAGAAATATTTAAAAAGTTTGCAAAATTGCATATCTAATAGGTTAAAAAATTAAAAATGTGACCCATGAAAAAAGGCCATTATTTAAAGCCTGTCAGAGTACCACCTCCAATTTTTTTATTTTTTGGTTAAATAACTCTACGTTTTGATGCATTGTAGTAGAACTCTTCTAGTTACATATGCAAATGACAAATTTTAGGAAAGTGTCATAGTTTGCAAATGGGGGGCAGCCTGGGGCACTGCCCCTAAATGGGGTAACTTAGACCACCAAATGTCAGCCCTGATGGGGTAACATAGACCAGCTTGGAAGTTAATATAAAATTACCATATATAACATATTTTATGTTTGACAGCCTATTTATGTTTTTTCTTTATGTTTCAGTCAGACTCTACAGAGTCTTATATATGGTTTTTTAACTTAATTTCCAAGCCAGTCAATATTACCCCATCAGGGCTGCCATTAGGTAGTCACATTTCCCTCATTATGGGCGGCGCCCCCAATTTGCAAACTATGACACTTTCCTCAAGTTTGTCATTTGCATATGTAACTAAAAGAGTTCTACTACAATGCACCAAAACCTGGAGTTATTTGGAGTTATTTTACCAAAAAATATAATTGATTTTACAACCCGGTCTAAGATACCCCAAGAGCTGGGGTAACATAGACCATAACTTTTTTTTTAAATCACATAAAGACTATGAGAGGCAGGAGCCAGCAATTTATGGTGAGTGAAGCTAGAGTATAGACCTGTATTTTGCATGTTTCAATTCATGTTTAATTTAGCTAGAAAGTAAAAAAAGGCATCATTTATAAAAAAAGTGGCCTAAGTTACCACATTTTACGGTATTTCACTTCCACCTAGGCTTCTAGCTTGGTCTCCCTTTTTCCTTCCTAATAATAAATGAATCTGTGATGCATGGCTGATGGCCGTTGCAAAGGCCTGAGCCGCCTGACTCTGAAATGACTTTTCTCAGTCACCACACCGGGCACAGTGGCACACCGGGGCCCGGGCCACACCCCAAATCCAAATCCATAGCCAAGCTAAGAAAAATTTCAGGCAGAACAAATTACAAAAATGTCACTTAGAACTTAGAAGTTAGGAGCTGTCAAATTTCAGTAATGACTAATGAGTAGGTATGGAAATTAAAATTTTAACTCATCCAGAGATCCAATAATAATTTCATTTCAATTATAATTTCTGCACCATTAATTAAGAATTAACAACATACCACAGTAGCAGTAGGAAGAGTTTCATCTGGATAGTGGCAGACTCTTCTCTCATTGTACGGTTCAATTTTGTCAAGTGAAGATTTGAAACTCGGACTGGGAGGGATCGTGACAGGAACCAACTCCGAGTCAGGTTTGACCATCGCAACAATGGCCACTGATAAATTGACTCGTAGTGCATAAAGCATAAAATTTCCGCTACATAACAAAAATGAGAAAGCTCTGATATTCATTTTTATGAGGAATAAACTATGAAGCTTCTATAAAGGCACAAAAAGACTTATATTATAAGACAACATAGTTGGTACTTCGAAGTTTGTTTACATCTCCCCTGCCAACAAGACACTAATAAAATATCCAACACGTTCAAACTCGAAATCATAGATACTTTGATACTTTGTTACTGCGTTTAAGAGGTAGAATTGACAGAGAGATAAAGTAATTTGTTTTCTAGCGACGTCAATTTTGTTACCATTTTACAAAAGTCATCAATCCAAACATGAAAAAAACTTTTTCTACAGAATTTATTCTCTACTAATAAATACGGAGCACGCAAAAATAGCACGAAAGTTGTTGCTGAAAAAAGAATATTTTTCAGAATTACTTGATTCGCCACGGACATAAATAATTCAAGTACAAAATGAAAACAAATAAATGAATGAATGAAAATGAACGTGCCCATCTAAACCGCCCAAGCCTAAGTAGGTTGATGAGTACAGTTCTAAGGTACACGCACAGCTGCTGTGCTCTGGACTGTCAAGAGAGTGCAGTACTAATGTACACGTACAGCTGCTGTGCTCTGGACTGTCAAGATGAGTACGGTTCTGACATGGGGTTCTGAGGTACTCGTACCTGGTGCGATCAGGGTGCACGTCAGCCCTCAGCGATTGTAGAATTTTATTTACATTGAACAAGTTGTGGACAGCTGATCACGCTTCTCAGCAGCGTCAGCAATGTTGCCACTGGGCACCACGTATGAACGATTTGCGATTGATTAATCTACGATGCATGGATTTGGAGTATATTTCACTACTGAACTACGATAAAATGGTCGAAAAAAATTTTAAAAGACAAACCCAATTTTCCTGGACTAAGCTTAGAGGACCGACAAATTCGCGCTCCAGGTTACGAGTTCCTGCATTTTTACTTATCCAGCCTTCAAAAGAAACTGTCAATTAAGTAAAAAAAAATGGAGCCACAATTTTCTAGGGCTATCTAAAAAGCTTCTTGGTTGATATGCGTCAATCAAACCCTAGAAATCGTATATCTGGCGAGTATTACACGCTTTTTAGTGACGAGCGGTGAGGTATGTGCAGTATATGCAGAGTGGCGACATATGACGTGTCATTGACTGGAGTCCGTACTACCGCAGTAACGATTAAATTGATAAAAGAACACTAATACTATGCCCATAAATTTACAAGACCTCTGCCATCGTCCGAGATTCTTCTTATAACGACCTTGAAGGTCATAATATAGTATAGTTTAGTGTAGTATCTTCGGCATTGAGGAATAGGCCTGGATAGGCCTGTCGCCGATTCTTGTACTTTTCTTGGCTAGACTGGCTTTTTGATCAAATCTTTTCAACGGACGGTATATTTAAAATCGCTTCTAGATTTCAGTTGTTACGTAGGATACGAGGCATTTCAAGACTAAACATATGCATGATATGCTCCTGCATGGCCTTGTCTAGTCTGTTCTTGAACGCGTTCATACTCGGAGCGTCAACAATATTTTCATGGAGGCTGTTCCACATGTCGGTGACTCGAAGCGAGATGAAATGTTGTCGCGTGGATAAGTTGCACCGCAGTTTTTTTAGTTTATAGCTGTGGCCCCTGGTGTTGATTCATGTTTCAAATTCTAGCAATCCTTCGGGGACCTTGTACAAACCATGAGTATACTTGTACACTTCAATGAGTTCACCACGCAGGCGACGATAACGGAGACTGGGAAGCTTCATAATCTTCAATACTTCTTCATAAGACTTGCCCTTTAAGCCCGGAATTATCCTTGTTGCACGTCTTTGAACACTCTTAACTAAATTTTTGTCCTTTTCAAGTCTCGGTGACAACACAACGTTTCCAAACTCTAGGTTCGGGCGAACGACAGAGGTGAACAACAGCTTCATCATTTCTATATCTAGGTACTCGTAGGAGCGTCTGATCAGCCCAAGCAGTTTATTGGATTTATTAACTTGCGTTTCAATATGCCTAGAAAATTTTAGCTCCTTGTCGACCCAAACTTCAAGATCTTTTTCAACGCAAGACTTCTCAATCATAACCCTCTCGTTGCAACCGTGTCTTCTCATGCTGTAAGCTGGCTGTTCATTGTTCTTGCCGAAAGGAGGTACTTTACACTTGTCAGCATTAAAACGCAGCTGCCACGCATCAGCCCAGTCAACTAAATTATCAGGATCATTTTGCAGTTGAATTTTATTTGACGCATCCTTAACTGTATTATAAACTTTTGTGTCATCGGCATACATGGAGCACACGCTTGACAGTACTTTTGGTAGTCTAATTATTCAAGGTAGACAGGAGATTAGTGGTGCATGATCTGCCAGCAATAAAGCCATGCTGACAGTCTGATAGAATATGGTTAACAGCCAAGTGATCGATAATCCTATTCCTCATAACCGATTCCATCACCTTACACACAACACTTGTGAGACTTACAGGACGGTAGTTACCGGGGTTGCTTCTGTCACCTTTTTTGAAGAGGGGTGTCACTTGGGCTTCTTTCCAGTCGGCCGGCAAAGTCCCTTCGATTAAGGTTTTTCGAAAGAATACTGATTAAGGGCCGGCCAGGACGGTTGCTAATTCGTTGAGTAATCTATTATGGAAACCGTCTGATCCAGATGACTTGTTAGGATTCAGGGAGACCAGGCGCTTGAGAACCTCCTTTCAGGGATCTCAAAACTAGTTAACTTCGAGCCCACTGGTCGCTCCTCATAGGAGCGACTGGTCATAGCAGATATTTTCTTCAATAAATGACAATGACCCTTGCTGACTCAAAACAATTGAGCCCGCGGCAATACCGCTAGACGGGGATAAACCCCACTGCTATACTTCAGTCTCGGCTCCCACCGACAATTTCTCCATAGAAAACGGACCATCTGAGAAGACAAAAACGCCTACTCAGCAATATTCGTCGGACAACATATGAGGGAATTTGTTAGGTGGGCACGGGCGATAGTAGATTGAACGGGCAGGCAAATTTCTCCAGAAGAAAAAAACTGTCAGAAATTCCCAACATTAGATGCATGTTTTATGACAATTTCAGGCGCAGAATCGGCGCTTGTGTGAATTGTTATTGATTTTAGCCATTGCTTTAACGTATTTAGGCTTATGCGCAGAATATTCAAAGACATTTTACCGACACCATAATCAACAACAATTTATACAAATGATGGACTCAGAATTAAGCAGGAAACTTAACAGGAAGATTAACGAAAATGATTGTAATTCAATGAAACTATCGTAATTTGATTTGAGTTTGTTTAGTAGGTCTTATTTGAAAGCCAAACGGTTCAAGATTTAAAGACACATGCCAAGTTTAATGCACACCGCATATACATATAATGACCGCATATAAGTGTGCTGACCGCATATACATATAGGTATATGTAAGTATACGATCGAATCGGCACTCCACCGAACTCGCCTGCGCACTCAAACTCGCGTGCACGACTTGCTCAGGCGTATCTCTTTTAATTATGAACGTATCAGATTGGAATTCAGAACATGACTAGTTATGAACAATGCAACGGTAAAGGAATTATAACAGCAGTTACTGGCAAAACTTTCAATGCTAATTGGATCCACCAATAGCTCATTTGCTTTAAATTACCGACTCCCATCGACATCGACGACATGTAATAGCATTATTAGTTTGCTGAAATCGAAAATTAGCCAAGAAATTAGAAGTTAAATAAACGCCTAATAAATTCATCATTTTTTTAGCAAAAATGTTACCTATTCGAGCACTAATTTTTGCGTCTTCAGTCTTCACGATGAACAGCGGGTGCGTCGTTTCTGTGGGAGAACGATTTTAAAATTCATGGTTCCATCTTTGGTTCCTACGATCTAAGGATTTTCAATCGCTGTATATTTTTAAACGGAAACCTTGCTCAAAACAGCTCTGTTCCGTCTATCTATAGGGAATTCACGAAAATTTCCTGATTTGAAAGCTCAATAAAAATAGAACTAGTAACGATATCATTACAATATGAATTTCATTGAAAAAGAAGTTACCTGAATTTAGCACCATTTAGTTTTAAAGATTTCATCGTACAAATGACTGCCCCATTGTCAATCCATTCAGTTAGTTGATTTTTGAAGTACCGTTCAACTCGCTAAAGCATATATTGACAGGTGTGTTGGCAATGGCTTGGCGAATGTTGTTCTTCAGATGAGGTCCTTGGAGAATCATTGAAACAATTGATTTAAGAAAAAAAAAAATAAAAAATTACAATCGATTTCCCATCAGGAAACCGAACTGAAGGACGAATACGGAATCGAGTACGGAATGCCCTTTGGTTAGCAGTAATGGAACGGCCATTAGAAAAGTAGTATAATGGTTTACTAGCGCTTCAGCTATCAAGCTATTTCGCACCGGAGGTTAAAAGTAACTCGCCAACGAGGCGGAAGATCTTAATTATTCAGAGTCTAAAATTAATCATCACCCACAAGGGGCGGAAGGTCTCAATTGTCCAGCCCGCTGAAGCTGGCTCGAAAGAAGCAGAGTTAGCATCTTAAAGAGACGAAGTGCCAAGGAGGGACAGGTGAAAATCAACAGAAACGACGACACTCGAACAAGAGGTCGCTTACACGGGACGTCGGCCGGCCGCACGAGAGAGACAGAGAAGGGAAATGTAAGGAACCCTGCCTACATAATAACTTAACCCCACAACTGAGACCTGCAGTCAGACACCGCGAGCTCAGCGGTGGGGCGCTCAGGAACAATCCGCCTAGGAGCGCGAAATCCCATAGGATTTCTGAAGAGCACATGCAGACACGCATCAGAAGTCCCCCATGAGGGGGGCCATTAGAAAAGTACGCCTCGACAGCAAGCGCACGCTGCTCACTTGGCCCATATATAGTGGCAACTAACTAGACAGGACACAAAACTTCATGACCTTGCATTTCATATGAAATGATTTTGGTTTTTTCCCCACAACATCTGCCTGCTTGGCACGAAATAGAAAACAGGAAGTTTCCGTTAATCATCTTGTATTTGGTTTCATGATCATAATCTCGTGTACTCGGTACTTAGTTTAGTTTTTCTGTGCAAATTTTGCTTGGTATTGAATGCTATTCCTACAAGTTTTTTAGA